TTGTAAAGGCGCACGGCTGGCCAGCACAAAACACGACTCCAAGAACTGCGAGTTCGAATCCTATCCTATCACCCTCCTTTTTTCTCGTTCCTAAAAATGTATTGGATCCTGCCTATCTTAGGGAATAAATCTATACCTCAGGGGCAGACTGTCCCGAGTCCTGTATTGCAATTTTACAGCAGAACAAAGCAATATCGGTGATCACACATAGAAGAACACTGTACTTGAAGCAGTTTAAAAGATTAAATCTTTTTTATTTATTTTATAGGGTAACGTGATCACCTTTGACTGCATAATATGGTGCAAAGAGTTCCTCGAGATAACTACAGTATACTTTTTATCAGTTTCTTTTTCTTCGAAGCTTTCATGGTTACCTTCAAGTTTTATTTAACATACGTGCAGATGTCATAGAATTAACAACTGAACATTGTTTCGCCATCCGTACAAAATTACAGGTTTATCAACAAATTCTAAAGATGACATTGACGTAAACATTTCGATCGGTGCACTAAGGGGGTGTTCTAGTCTAGACTTTTCAAAAAAATCGATTTCTCTTTTTTACATCTTCTGAAAGTAAACATTTGCAGAAGTATAACTGTCGAAGGATTTTTCCGAATTCGTAAAATTGACGAAGTAATAGATGGTTAAAGAAGGCGACATGTAGTCCGTAGTCGTAAGTATACCATTCTCGTGTAACTGGTACGAGAAACTTTAAACGCGGTTTTCTCGAAACTACGTTTTTCTAAATGGCTGACATGATATCTCAAGTTCTAGTTGTCCGAGTGACTCCAAATTTTACATGCACCTTCAGTGGATGTGCCGTTATCGTCTGAACCAGAATTATGCCAAAATATATATTTTTCTGATTTTTAGAGCCTCTGAAAGGCGAAAAAAAGTCGACAAAATCGATACACAAAATTCAAAGTGCAGCCATTTTGTAAATTTTCATTATTTTTTTTTCATTCTGGTTCACACCATAATCACATCCGTACTAATCAAGAATCCTTTTGGTTTTTTCATTTCGAATAAAGAGAATGGGGGGAATCGTGTCAGCCAATAGGACACTTTTCTTTAAAGGGACTGCACTGAATGATGTATAATTCAGACAGTTTTGACTATTTTCACTTGAAAAAAATTGTGAACTTTCTTAAAACATGAATAAATATGTATGCAAAATTCCGGTACAGAGAAACTTATACTTTCCTTAGAAAAAAATCCCTAAGAAGGACCAAAAAATGACACTCTAGACTAGAATACCCCCTTAAGGTGATCACGCTACGTGGTTCACCCTGTTTAACGTAAATATCTCACTATGGCTCTACTAAACAGTAAAGAAAGAGAAGTGTGATTCCATATAATAACTCAACTTTGAAAAAAGGAATATATCGCGCTCGAATGATTTTATTTAGCTAAAAAACCATTTCATAAACGACTTTACATATTAAAAAATATGAAATGTTTAATCTCGTTTCAATATGAATTAAATCTTTGCATATTAATGAAGTTACAAGTCGCCTACAAGTCTCACTTTTTAATTCTACAAAAAGAAAACTAAAACATAGCTTCCTACGACTCTGATAAATTAAAAAAGGTGTATAACTCAATTCTGACAAGATTAAGTTGGTTTAGCCTGGTTCTAAAGTAC